GAGAGAGAGAGAGAGAGAGAGAGAGAGAGAGAGAGAGAGAGAGAGAGAGAGAGAGAGATCTTGCGTAATGTATACGCGGGTGAGGGGCAGTGTGTGGTTACTGATCGGAGGCAGTGTGATGATGTCACATTTGCCGTCGGCTGATTCTCTCTTTTCTGAAGTGTTTCGCCGAGTATAGACATATATCGACCGGGGAAATGCAGCATTTGGCGTGTAGCTGCCTAGGTATGGTGCAGTCGGACGATATGTGACACGTGTTCGTGAGTGTCCACAAGGTCCACAAGATGGCTCGTCTAAGGGATTCCTCGGCATACTGGCGGAGAGCGCAAGCGGAATCGTAAGGGCAATCTCTCCGAGGGGCTGCATCTGAGAGGATGAAATAATGGGTGCAACACGATGCAGCACTGAATCTGGACGTGTTTGAGTTGAGGTGCATAAAATCGCGACTGATCTACTTTACCTCCAGATTCAGGCGTTTAATTCAATCCTCTTTGCTAGTGGGACCTTTTAGCACGGAATGTGGACGTGGTTGAGGGAAGTGCATGAAATCGTGATTGATCTGTTTTTCTGCATCTCTGCGTATAACACATGGGGATTCGGGTGCTTAATCCAATCCTCGTTGCTAGTGGGACCTCTTAGCACTGAATCTGGACGTCCTTTTAGCACGGAATGTGGACGTGTTTGAGGGGAAGTGCATGAAATCGTGATTGATCTGCTTTTCTGCATCTCTGCGTAGAACACATCGGGATTCAGGCGCTTAATCCAATCCTCTTTGTTAGTGGGACCTCGCAGCACTGACGTGTTTGAGGGGAGGTGCATAGAATCGCGATTGATCTGCTTTTCTGCATCTCTGCGTAGAATACATCCAGATTCAGGCGCTTAATCCGATCCTCTTTGCTAGTGGGACCTTGCTCCGGGTACAGGAGGAGCACGATGCCTCCATCAATCTCAGAAAGGGCGGGACATTTCCGCAATGCAGGCACAAATGATGTAAATCTTCTATTTGCTGTTTGTGTCCCAGCAAACAAAAATGCACAGAGAGGAAGCTGTAGAGTCTCTTTGGGCACACCGTAG